TTGTACACTTGCCTAGGACTTTTGGATTGTGTGTGTTTCTAGAGTAGCCCTTAAGTGCCCTGTCTTGTTCAAAATAGGTGTTCAGAAAGGTGTGTTGAAGACCGGTGCTGCTGGACAGGCATGCAATCCTAGCACTCTGGGAGGTTGAGGAAAACAGTTACACGTTTGAGCCCAACCTGGACAACTTAGCAAATTAGTGAAACTCTGTGTCAAAATAAAAACTAAACATTTTTTAAAAGGCTGAGATTCTAGTTCAGTGTGTAGGATCTGATTTCAATCCCCAGTACCACCAGAAAGAGGAAAAGAAAAGAAAGAATGAAAGAAAGAGAGAGAGAGAGAAAGAAACAGAGACAGAGAGACAGAGGGAGGGAAAGAAAGAGAAAGAGGAGGGAGCAGAGGCGAGAGGGAACGGGGGAGCAGGGGACCAGGTGGGGCGGGGGAGGAGACGGAGAGAGGGCGTCAGTGTAAACACCTCCCCTCCCAGAAGTTACACCTATAGGCACTGTGCTGCCTGTCTCTCTCCCACAAAACCCAAACCTGTCGTCAAACGATATCAGAAATTATAACCAAAACATCGATTCCCTGCTTTTTGTTCGTGGACACATTTCTTCTTAGAAATGAATTAATTTTATTTGTATTAATGGAGTGAAGAATTTAACCATATTTACAGAATTATGTCACTACTGAATTTTAAAATGTGAAGTTTTTTGTATTCTTACATTTACCCACAGTTATTTCAAATTCCATTTTCTTTCATCGTATTCAAAATTAAGTAGGATGAACCTTTTCATGAAATTGAGAAGAATTTGTTATTGTGAAGTCACAAAGAGACTTATATATCATTGGATAAGTCTTTCATCTTCATATTAAAATTTGTTATTTAAAGTATAAATTTTCAGCTCCTTATATCATATATCACCATTAAAATTCCAATTGTCAGATTACATATTCTCTTTCTCAGAGAATTACTTCGTGCAAGAAGGCAATGTTTTTGACATTCAGAATTTGACTTCTAGCCGGGCGTGGTGGCACACACCTGTAATCCTAGGGAGCCGGAGGATCGTTGTGAGTTTGAGACCAGCGTGGGCTACAAAGTGAGCTCAAGGCCAGCCTGAACTACAGAGCGAGACCCTGTCTCAACAAGACCAAAAAAAAAGAATTTGACTTCTATCTTGATTTGCTCCTATCAAGTTTCAATATAAAATTAGGTGAAGCATATACACTTGTCACTATTATTACTTTTGTGATATTATTGAACATTCATTGCTTGGAAAAATAAAAATTGTCTTAGACATATTTTATTAACACAAGAGAAATTATTAGATTCATGCATGAGATCTGTTTGTTCTTTTTTTTTTTTTTTTTTTTTTTTTTTTTGGTTTTTCTCCGGTACCGGGAACCGAACTCACGACCTTGCGCTTGCCAGGCAGGCGCTTTGCCGCTGAGCTAAATCCCCAGCCCCGAGATCTGTTTGTTCTTATCATCTCTTAGAGAAAGAAACCATTTTTATTATGTGAGAATGCCCTCAAGTACATGATATCTGTACTATACTAATACATGAAGGGTTTATTTCATTATAAGTTTTGATGGAAGATTAATGTGAGATTCTCTGTTGATGCATTTATTTAATAAGCTAAAAGAGAAGTAGTTTGGGGAGTAATCAGGACTTTTTGCATTAGTTTTACCAATTAAATCATACTAATAGATATGGCGCTTTTTAAACTACGCAGAAATTACTTCGTGGTATAGATATAAATGATGGCTATATTTAGTTCATTGTTTTATGTAGCTTTACCCTGAAAACACCACTTGAGCTGAAATAAAGGCAGGCTATTAGTTTATATGCTAAAGCATCATATCCTAAACCAAGAACACTCGTTCCTCAGGATACTCACCTCCCTTGCTCACATCAGCACACACTGCACAGGGATGCGGGGCTGGGAAACAGCGGATTTACCCGCACAGCCCTTGGTGGGTTCGAACAGGAGTCTCCAGAGGACATATATTGCATCACACATTTCCTACACATTTCCTGAATATGCTGGACACAGGCTACACCCAGTTTCTGTGAAGCTGTTTGAAAACCACTGCTCTAGGAACAGTTTAGGAAGCGCATCATAGGAAAAAGGAAATATCCATCCCTGCACTGGTTAGCGCACCAGCACTGATTATCACAGAAATAATCAAATATTTTTGCAAAATAGGTTCTTCCAATCATTTGCCCTTTAACCATAGCTCACAAAAATTAGCTTTTGTGTAATCTTATTTTACATGAGCCATGACTAAAATATTCAACATGGCTTAACAGTTGATTTTTAAACAGGTGGAAATGTCCAAATCTATTCTGATTTTTCATATTCATGTTTGAAAATTTGGCAATATCAATCAATTAATGAGAAATTTCATTGGACATTGGTAGATATAAAAATTTTTGAAGAATTTGAGCATCACCTTTTTTCTGATAACTTATTGATGATAGATATAAAAGATACAACTTCAATCAGTCAGCACCCAAGAACCTTTACCAAAAAGTATCAGATTTAGGGTAAAACAAAAGTCAGTGCTTAAAAATAAATATTCCTTCACCCAGGGCTTGATGATCTTTATAGTGAATATTTTATCTTTATTTCTTTGGGTAGAATAAACTGATGAGTTTTGAAATTCTGTAGGTTATTGATTTAATTTCATGGATCTCACATTAAAAATTGATTTTCTTTCAAATAATGCCAAGTAGGCATATCACCTGATTGTATGACATATAACATTGTTCATGATAAAGTTTCTTATGAGAAATACAACTTTAATTTTAAATAGCATGCAGATTATAAGCCAACAATACTATAATGTATACATCTTTAAATTTTTAACAGCAAAATTTCCTCTCCTTTTAAAGTTTTTACAAACATTAATATTATAATAAATATACTGAATAACTTTTGAATAATAGTTCCACAAAATATATTTAAACTATTTTGAACAACCTAGCCATTCATACTGTACTACACTGATATTAACAAGGACAACAATTCTCTGTGAATTGTTTAGATTTTTATCCACACAAACAGCCATGTTTAACTTAAAAATTTTTACTGGAAACTTTCAAAGATATATATTTTCCAACTCTCTAAGTAGAAAATACTAAAGATAAGCTAGCCTTTTGCAAGATGCTATCTCTGCTCTCATTCTGTTCAACCATCCACTCAGTTTCCCCAGATGCTGAGCTTCCACGTCCCCCAACCCCATCCGCACAGGCAGCTCAGAGGTCCCCTGCTTTCTGATCCGCAGCTCTACTTTCCTCCAATCTCTTGGAAGTCAACCAGAGGCTTGCCTTAGGCACCAGCTGTAGAGTAATGTTCATGAGTTTTGTGGGAGATAGTTCCTCTCAGGAGACATTTTTTGCCCTCTTCTAGATTTATAGTTGTGTTCAAGGTAGAACTGAGCCTGCGGAATGTCTGGCCTTCCAAAATGTGAAATGGTAATACATCAAATCACTTCAGAGAATAAGAGATCACATTCACTGTGTGTGCTTGCCCCGGGCTCTCTGTGTTCACTTGCAAAACTTCCTGTGAAAGATTGCAAGGAGCCCCGGGTCTAATTTCACACCACAGCAACTCCTTATTCATGTGTTTATTTTGTTCCTATCTGGTTCCAGGAAGCTTTTATGACCACTAGCCCTTTACACTTAGTACATCTGAATCTTCCTTTTACTTTGAAATGCATTTCAACTCTCTCCCTGTCTTTCCATATATACCTTCAGGTATACGCTTTTAAAATAATTAGGAAGACACAGTTTGAAACAGGGCTCAGGCTATGGATTTCATTACATTATAGTTTTTAATCCTATAACAGCCTTCAAATTAGGTCTGGCTGTTTCCTGTCTTATAAGTGAGTTAACAGAAATTCACAAAGTTTACACAAAATCCCAAAGTTCTTCTGTTAGGAGCTGTGGAGAAAAAATTCCCACTCGGCCCTTTCTGATTCAAAATCCATGATTAGGTCCACAATATTCATCTCTCATCATGGTCAAAAGCAAAACAGCCTTGGCGTCACACATTTACATGATCACCTAGAGCAGCTGTCCACAGTCCAGATTCAAAATGGGGCCCTGGTTAGATTTCAACCAGAAAAAATTCTTTAAGACCTTGAGATTTTATAGACTTAAGAACCTCCAATCCAGTATGAGTGTTTTTCCCATTTTTTTTCAAGTGTTAATATCTGTAAGCTCAACTTCAGACATCTGAACAATGCCTCCGCACAAGTTACGCCTCATTCTAATCAGTGTGGTTTCGCTTTTTGCTGTTTCATTGCTATTTAAATTAACTATGCCCTTATTCTAGTGTTAACTCTGTAGCCAGAGTAAATTGCAAACATAATTATTCACCTGTACCCATTAGATGAGCCATGGACAACCCATTCTATCCAGGGTACAGTAGACCTGCATTTGAGTAAACATAAATAACCACTATTACTCACTGGGAGTTAATTCCTTAGCATCAAAAAAAGTTGCTTTTACAACTTCTATAGGAAAAGCAAACCAAAAAAGGCCACACAATTTTCTGAAGAGTAAACTTTATCCTTATAGTTTAAGTCCATTTAACTTACCACGTAAAACATTAAAATGTTCTATAATTTTTTATATTTTCTTTGACATATTTTCCTGGTATCTTCACAAGAAATTGTACTTGAAGCACTTGCTAAACTTTTTATCAGTAAGTCAAACAATTTTCTAGTATCGAGACAATCACAAGAAAGTTTCAAAATAAAAGGATTTAAACATATCATTTAACTAAACCAAATTGGCCTGTTTTCTAGTAATGAAATTTTACGTAGTATTTTATTACTTTCAAGAAGGCTATGAAACTCATTAATTTTAAAGTTGTTGACTAGCAAAACATGGAAATAGAGGCTGGCTAGTCCAACTTTTCCAGCCTGTGATTGCTGTTCTTTTATCCTGTCAAATACATTGTATATCTGTGTATGCTAAATCTTGCAAGCCTTACCTTCAGTCTCTCCTCTAAATTCTTGTCTAATAAGCTTCCTTTTTCATGCTTTTCAAATTCCATGTTGAAAGAGAGAAAGAGAGAGAGGAGAGAGAGAGGAGAGAGGAGATAAAGGAGAGAGAGAGAGAGAAACAGAGGTTCAGATTCTGTGTAGAAAGTGATTTGCCGTGCTTGCATGTTAGGTATTGCTGGACATTCCAAGCTGTGAGAGCCCAGGACACTATCAGGAAGCCCTGGCGATAATTTCTGGTTAGCTAGTGTTTCCATTTATAGATGTTCAAACCCCATAAACAGGGCACTCAACAGAAGTCAGGCAGCTGGCCTTACATAATGATAAATGTCACTAAATATAAAAGCAATCTCTTAAATGGGAGAATTTATCCATCAGGCTAGGTTCTCTGAACCGAGAATGATCTATGTGACAAAAGCTACTATCAAAGAGTTCACTGATACCTGCTGGAGAAGAAAATATATTCTAGATACAGACCTAATAAATCAGTTAGTAAAGGAAAAAAATGATAATCTTAAAGCGAAAATGAATCATCCAGTTTAGTTCTTCTAAATTCCAATGTGCATACCAGTAGTGCAGACCTGTGTGAGTAACTTTGCAAAAAAAAAATAATAATAATAATGTGGCTTCAAAAGAAAGGGCAATTGAGTAACAAATTAAAACTATACAAACACACAGCACATGTAGTCCGAGGATGCTGCCCTCATTCCAGGAAATATCACGGATTAAAAGTGATGGTTTCCTTCAAAAAGACTAACGTGCTTCTTTTCCATGAGGAACAAAATTATAACATAGGAGATAAAATTCATTTCTCCAATGGGACAAATGCTGTCAGAATTCTGTTAAAAAATGGTAAACATGGCTTACAGAACATTCATTGTACAGTGAATTAAGTGTAGTTAACTCTGCCTGTGTTTTCCGGAGAAACTGATGTGTAGCGACAGTAAAAGAATAAAAATGGTGCTTTAAAAATTTACCATTCTCCACAGAGTAAGCTAAGACGTGTCCCTGTGGTGGCTTCAGCTCTGGCCATGGTAAGTGTCCTTTACCACCTGACTTTGACCTTCACTCAAATTTCTTGCCAATTTCTCCCTCACTTCTTAAGGAAAGTTTAGAGAAAACGTGTCAGGAGACTCTGTCCTTCAGAGTGACCTTCACGGCCTCCGCGGCCAGGCAGAGGTGCTCCAGTCCATTCTGCATCCTGATGAAGGGGTTGAGGACTTCAGAGGTGAAGCATTTGGTGAGAAAGAAACCCGTTCCTGCTTCGGCACAGTGCATTCAGACACCGAACATCAGCTCTCCAGGCAAAGGGGCCTCCCCTTTGGCCTCCTCTTTGAACTCCAGAAAACGTACCGTATGGTTGTTGGGAAATGAAAGTCTAAAAGTTTGGTTAGCAGGCAAGGTTGGTGTGTTCAAAAGGCAGTTGTTGCGCATTTATGTGAATGAACTTCCAAAAATCTTCTAAGACAAACAAATCTGCGCTGTGGCTGCATAAGGAAACTCAATTGTTGCTCAGCATGCATGTTTAATGGCTGCAGGTGAAACCCAAGATCCGGGTAGGAGAAAAACAAATGATATGCGTGGAGCAGCATTGGTTTGGAGACGAAAAGCCAGGAGTGGCACAGGAGGAGGGTACAGCGCATGTGCTGAGTACCGGAAATGGGTAAAGACCATCCCAGGAACAAGGGGACTTTGGAAAAATAATAAACGACCTGCAAGATAATCCCTTACAGCTAGGAGTGTACCTCGGTGACACAGTGCATCCCTAGCCTGCATAAGGCTCAATCCCCAGCACCACACCAAAAGAAAAAAGAAAAAAATACAATCCCTGGAGTATGGCTATCAACAAACAAACTCACAATGTAGGCATAGATTAGGGTTCGGGTTCTTGTAGACAGCGCACTTCTTGGAACGCATCATGCACCAGTTATGGCTTTAGGGCTTTCTATATGATTTCAGTTCATTCTTTTTCTTATTTTATTTTAAAAATAAAAGGAGGAAAACATTAACAGACAGAAAACCTTTTACAAAACAGCAAAAGAACAGTACAGACAATACAGAGTTACAAACAAAGTGGTAGGGAATTAACAATGTTTGTTGTATTACATATTGATACCTTCAAAGTGGTTTCTCATGAAAACAGATAGAAACATGCAATCTTGATCAATCAAGGACTCACTGACAGTTTGTTTCAGCAAAGAAATAGAAGACAGTAGAACAACTATGTCCAGAGTAAAAAGAAAACCCACAAACTTGGAAAAAATTTTAGCTGACTGTCCCTCAGACAAACGGCTTCTATCTAGAACATATAAAGGATTTAAAAAAATCAGCCCCCCCCAAATTCAAAGATCCAGTCCAAAAATGGGCAGCTGAGATGAATACACACTTCTCAGATAAGGATTTCAGTTAATTCATAAAACCACTCTAAAAGGTAGAAACTATTATTTTCCTATTATCATGGAATGGATTATATCATCCCCAAAATTCAGATACTAAATCTCTAACCCCTCAATACTGAGAATATGACTGTATTTAGATTTAGGTTCTTTAAAGAGGTGATCAGGGTTAAACAAGGTCATTAAGAGGGGGCCTAGTCCAGTGTGATGTGTGTCTTCATAAGAAGAGGAAATTAGGGCCCCAGTCTCTCTCAGGAAGATGATGAGCAGCCTCGGTAAGCAGGTGGCCATCTACAAGTTGAACAGAGGCTTTGGAACACCTTGATTATGGACTTTTGTTCTCCAGAAGAGCGAAGAAGTAAGTTTCTGTTGTTTAAAACACTCAGCCCAAGGCAGGCATGGTGGCGCAGGGCTGCAATCCCAGAACTCTGGGAAGCTGAGGCAGAAGGATCACAGATTCAAGCCCAGTCTGGGCAATTTAGCAACTTAGTGAGACCTGTGTCATAAAAGCTTTTATAAAAAAACAAAAGGAGGAGAGAGGAGATGTAACTCAGTGAGAAGGCTCTGGGTTGAATCCCCAGTACTGCAAAAATAAATAAACAAGCCACTGGGTCCATGTTATTTGCCATGGCAGCCCTACAAGTGCATACACCAATTTCAGAACTAGAAAATCAAGACGCAGCTACACAGACCACAAACGGTGATAAGTCTGCCAGCCCAAGCTTCCCTCTGGCCACTCTCTCCATTGCACTGTGTACCTCTGTGCGAACCATTTCATCCTAGATGTAACAGTACAAGCAGGTAACCTGCATGAGCACTGTGCACAATACCATATCTCTGTCCACTCAGGGAGATGTGCTTCCATATGTTTTTATCACTGAAGGACAGCAGCTTTTCTTAGGTAAATCATGACAGCAGAGGTTAACTCTGATCCACTTATTGTCAAACAGCAGAGAAGTTGAGCCCCGCTGGTCTTTCTGTCCATCCATCATTGAAGCACGATTCCTCCCTTGGTCGAGGTCATTCTTCCTGAAGTTTCTTTCCCAGTGACTCCATCTGAAACAGCAAACCCATCCCACCCCATCCACTCATTTGCTACTTTCTTCTTCATAGCCCTTGTCATCTTTGGTATTAAATTATTTCACATTATATTTTAATTTTATTTATGTCTCCTTATTTGTAATTTATCTTCCCTGCTAGAGTACAAGCACTAAACTATGCTTTATTTGTAACTTTATCCAAGCACTTAGAACATAGCAAGGATAAATAAATCCTTATAAAAGAAAGAAGGCAAGATGAAAAGGGCAGAAAGGAAGAAAAGAAGGAAGGAGAGAAGGAAGAAAGGAAGGCAGGAAAGTAAGGAAATATATCAAAAGTTGAGAGTTAAGACATTTAACACATTGTTATTTATAACACATGATTAGAAACAGGATGATAATATTTACCATCATAACCCACACTAGAGATGAATATCATAATAACCGCTCCAGACACTGATTTTACTCAAACAACTATGACAGTAAGGGAGAAATAGAGGTAAGAAGCAGGAAGGTTTTGGATTCATTTGCAAATTCTCCCACTTTCTATCTGAGTCACTTCAAGCAAATTACTTCGTTAAGAGTTTCGGTTCCTTTCTGTCCTAGTGCTATGATAACAGGTGACTGTGGTGATGCACACGAAGAGCATAGCTCTTGTCTGACGTCAAGCAAGTCATCAGTAGTAATGTGTGCCACTATCTCCCTGGGCATTGATCTAGAAAACATTTACTTCACAGATAGAACCAAAGTCCTAAAAATTATGTCACAGAAATTAACACATATTCTTAAGTCATTTACCTGATAGAGGACACATATCCACTGTATATAAAGAACTTGTATCCAGAATAAAAAGTAACTCAATTACAAAATATCTCATTGTGTGATATTTCTCCCAAGAAAACAAATGGCCAACAATTGCATGAAAAGTGTCTGTTGTTATAATAATCAGAGAACGTAAATCAAAAGTACTGGGTTACAATGCTGGCGATGCTGTGGAGCAAGGGGAGCCTGACATCGCCCTAGAGGTTGTAAAGTAGAGTAGGTGCGATGGAAGACAGTGGGAGAATTCCTCAAGATGGTGTCCACAGAATTGCCAGTGACCCAGCACTTCTAACTACAGGTTTACCGAAGGAGAAGTGAACATGCGTCCCCACCCAGAAATTCCTGCACAAATGTTCATGAAGAAATTATTCATAGTAGGCAAAAAGTGGGAACAACACATGTCTATCAACATCTGAATGGTGACCCAAGTGCCTACATCAGTCCAGGGAAGTATCACTCAGTAGTAAAAAGGAATGAAGAATGGATTATACAAGCACATGGATGAAACTTGAAAATATAATACAGGATTATATCATATATAACTTACAAGAAATGTCCAGAAGGGGCAAATTCATAGAATGGGACAGGATGGGAAGGCAGAAGGGGAGAGACTGCTAATAAACACACAGCTTTTGGGGGACTGTGGTAGTCAGAGTTTCCAAGGGAGAAAATCCAATATAGGACACTTAATTTATAGTATTATTTTATAATAATCACCCAACGAGTCATACACAAAGACAGTGCAGGAAATCTGTCCGCAGACTAAAGATTGGCAACAACCCTCAGGTGGGCCTCCCACACGCAGCACCATGCTGGTTCACTTCAGCGGGGGTTACAAGGTGACCACCAGTTGTTGATCCACCATAGGGGGTAATGAAAGTATCCTGAAATTAGATACTGATGATGACTGCACGAGTCTGTGAACACACTCCAAACCAGAGGATTTCATGTATGCC